GCCCCACCCCAGGCAGAGAGGAGGCAGGGAGAGCTGATGTGGGGAGGACAGTGACAGTGTCTAGCTACTACCAGAACCTTGACAGCTTACAGAGAAGAGCACAGGAAAGAAATCCCATCCAGTATCCCAGTATCCATTTCCCAGTGGATGAATCCAATTAGAATCTCAGTGGCCAGAGATCTGGGTAGTAGATCATAGGGATCCAGATCCCAAAACACCAAACAGGGCAAAGGGCAGAACCTAAATTCAAGAGCAAGCAGCAAAGTGCTGGTTGGAGTTTCTCTGTGTACCCTGACTGGCCCAGAACCCACTCTGGAGACCAGGCTGGCCTTACACTCAGAGATCAGCCTGCCTGTGCCTCCCAAGTGCTGGGATTAGAGGTGTGTGCTGCCACCACCCAGCCAAAACTCTCCTTTTAATTAGTACAGTTGAAAAGTACCCCAAACCTATGAGGTACCTGTCCACCTGTCTAGATATTCACAGTAACATCCCTTGGTGTGGAAGACAGACTGAGACCAGCCCCAAGGGAAGCTCTTCATGGAAGTGGGGAAGAAGCAGTACAGAGATGCAGGCCAGGCGCAGTCCCCGTGGCGAGACATCTGGCACTAGTGCCTTGGTCGGAGAGCCCTAAGTCCACAGTGCTACCTCCCTGGACTTGTTGCTTTCCTTCTCTGCAATCCATTTATAAGGATAGAAGGCACTGGGCTAAACAGTCTAAACGCTGGCTTGTGTATCCAACATATGGGTGACTGCTGGACTCCCCCTGTGCTGACCTACTACAGACAGGAGTATGCCATCCGGCCTCACCCACTTAGAGCACTGGGGTGGGACCACCAGGGTATGTTTCTTCTTGGCTTAGAAGATGGTTTACTCTTCACACTGACCTCTTCTCTCCCCAACTCCTGTGGATCTGGACTGCTCCATTAAGTGTGTGTCGTCCTTGCTGTCTGTTAGTGGTAGGCTTACCTCCCCATCTGGACCGCTGCATTTGACTTATCCGCCATCAGCGCCAGATGTCTGTTTCCACTTTTTGACATTATGAATGTTGAGCAGGTGTTTGTTTGAACACAGTTCCTTCTTAGATTCTCTCAGATATGCCCAGGAGTAGCCTGGGTCCTGTGGCTTAGTCTTGTGAGGAACTGAAAAATTATTTTCCAGTGGGGTTGCACCATTCAATAGCAGACGAAAGGGGTTCCTTCCTTTCTGTTTTCCTCTCTATACCTTGACTAAAAACATACCTGTCTTTTTACTGTTTACTACACTCACCCTAGCCATTTAGAAATAATGTCTCTGTGGGGTTTGTTGGTTTTGTTCAATTTGGTGATGTGTCTTTTGTTTTTAAATAGTGTGTGTGTGTGTATATGTGTGTGTGTGTGTACCTGCAGATACTTGCAGAGGCCAGAAATAATATCTGTGGGGTTTATAGTTTTGTTCAATTTGGTGATGTGTCTTTTGTTTTTAAATAGTGTGGGGTGTGTGTGTGTGTGTGTGTGTGTGTGGGTGTGTGTGGGTGTGTGGGTGGGTGTACCTGCTGATACCTGCAGAGGCCAGAAGGGGTCATTGGATCCCTGGAGCTGAGTAACAGGTGGTTGTCCCCTGCCTAACATGAGTGCAGGGAACTGAAATCAGATCCCTTGCAAGAGCACTAAGTGTTAACTGCTGAGCCATCGCTCAAGCCCTCTTGTTTTGGGATGGGGTTTTTTTGGTTGTTGTTGTTTTGGGTTTTTTGTTTTGTTTTGGTTTTGGCAGCATCTTGGTTAACCCAGATAGCCTTAAACTCACCATGTAGGCTGGATTTGAACTCCTAACCTTCCTGCTATCACCTCCAGAGTGCTGGTATTACAGACATGCACCACTCCTGGTTTATGAGATGCTGGGGATAGAACTCAGGACTTGACATAGTAGGCAGCACTGTATCCAACTGACCTACGTCCCCAGACCCATTGATTCTGCACTTGGGTTCCACTAATTCATATGTCTGTCATCTTGTCCTAACCACACTGCCAAGCTAGAGGTGTGGTTCACTGGTGGTAATTGCTCAACATTCATGAAGCCCTCAGGTCAGTCCCCAACATATTCTCTATTCTCTCTCTCTCTCTCTCTCTCTCTCTCTCTCTCTCTCTCTCTCTCTCTGTGTGTGTGTGTGTGTGTGTGTGTGTGTGTCCATCCCTCCCCCCACCCCACGCCATTGCCTAATTCCCATATCTTTGTGGTAGGTTTTGAAATACAAAGAGGAGAGTTCTCTGATTGTGTCCGTAGTTTTTGTTTCTGTATTTTTCAAGCTCCTTTGGGTTTTCTGGGTTCACAGCAGACTCCTGACCACTCTTGTTGCTAGGCTGCTGGCTTTCTCATTTCCTTGATGGACTTGCCAGCCGAGTGCTAAGTGGAAAATCCCCTTCACTCTTCCCCAGCCTCCTTTGGAGAGGCAACTTGGCCACCAGAGATCTGGGCCCAGGCCCATCCGGCTAAGTTTAGTCTTGGGCCAGGTAGTCACCCAGCCAGGTAACATGTAGGCTGCACCTGGCCCTGAAGCAGGAGACCCATTCCATCTAATCCCAACATCCCACTTGCTGGCTTCCTCCCTAGTGCACAGAGCTGTGATAATCCCCAGGTGCATGTTCAGCCACACCACACATTCTTTTCATGCCTGTCATCCTGGCATTCTCTTACACCTTCCTAAGGATGACTCATGGCACAGAGGGAAGCCATTTTGTTGTCAGGTGAGACCAGTGTGGCAACCTGGCCTTCCTGGTGGCATGTCCAGTCACACCCATGTGTTTTTCATTGGGCCTACCAGATGTGTCATCTGTGCTACAGGCACTGATTTTACTGTTAAACAAATTTTGTTTAAGATGAGGTATGTATCCCTGGCTGACCTGGACCCACTGTGTAGAAAGGTCAGGCTGGCCTTGAACTTGTGGAGCTCTGCATCCAAAATGCTGAAATTAAAGGTGTGTACCACCACACCTGGCCTGGTGGGAAACATTTTTACCTTTCCTGCAGAGTTTTTAGTCCTTGCTTGAAGATCAAAGAAGGAAAAAATTAAGAGGAAAAGGAGAAAGGTCAGGCAGAGGGCAAGCTTTTCTGGAAGGTCTCAGGGTCACCCAGCCTGGTGCTGACCCCGTGATATAGGTTCACACCTCTGCCTTTTTAAATGGGTAAAAGGCCAACATGGCTGAAGTGTGGCCAACAGACACTAAAGGCTCTTAGAGTAGAGGGAGGGATCAGCCCTGTGGTTGCCTAAGGGAGTCGAGGCTCTGCTCCACTGGATAGTCACTGACCTGCTTGTCTCACTCAAAACAAAAATACACTTCTGGAATGTTCCTGCTGGTCTCCTAGTCTTTGCTTCAGATGTAACATGAAACTGTTGGCAATTCTGAATTCTAGAGAGCAGCTTGGAGTTCTGTGACTGTACAGCCAGTGGGTTAACCTAAGCCCTGGTATCCTCACCTGTGAAGCAGATGTAGTAACACCCCATCCTCAGAGTTTGGGGGGCTGAGGGCATAGTTCAGTGGCACAAGACTTGCCTGACATTCACAAGGCCTTGACACCACAAAAACTCAAACTAAAAAAGCACAGCTCCTGGAAGGGCTGGAGACCAAGCACTCAATGGGTTAGATGTGCTGCAGACCTTCCATGGTGGCCCCCATAAGCCTGGCGCAACACCCTGGGGGACTCAGCCTTCTATTCCAGACTTCAACCTCCTTCCTGTGTGCTGAGCAGGTTCAGCTGGGTATCAGATGGCCAGGGACATCCGGGCTGGAGCTGGGACTGTGGATTTGGAAGACAGGAAGGTTCAATAAAAATGCATCATTAAATGTGGGGTGCTAGTGCAGGAGAGTTCCACAAAGACCCACTCTCTGAGTTGAGAAACTTAAGTCTTGAGGTTCAGGCTACCTGCTGTTGGGGTGAGAAGGGTTGAATTAATGGTAGAAGTGTCAATACCCCAAACCTGTTTGCAACTCTACATTTAGGCCCAATGCCAGACAGTCCAGTAAGCAGGGTTCCCCCAAGGTACCTACTTCCTCTTTCTACACTTGGTCTTTCAGCACCTCACCTTCAGACAGCCCAGAAGTCAGAGGGCTGAAGAGGGAATTTACTATCAATACAAGCAAAACAAAATGTCAGCAAAACCCGAGGCTGTAGCTCTCGGTCAGAGAACTTGTTCAGCACAAAGAAATTAGGATCAAAACCCAGTACTTCACCTGCTCCTGGGTGGCCTGTGAGGCTCATGGGGTTTTACAGTCTTAAGTGGTTGAGAGCTGGGAATTAGCTCAATTGGTAGAGTGCTTACACCCAGTTTTACCTTCATAAAACTAGATGTACATAGTGGCACACACCTTCGGTCCCAATACTTGAGAGGGGAAGGCAGAAGAGATCAGAAGTTCAAGGTGATCCTTGGCTACAAACCAGATGTGGTGGCACATGTCTGTAATCCCAGTACCCAAGAGACAGAAGTAAGAGAATCCAAAATCAAGGTGAACTTTGACAACACATCCAGTTTGAGGCCAGCCTGGGCTACATGAGACCATGTATTGAGGAGGGGGAAGTTGAAAGGGGAAAAGAATGTTTTTGCACATGAAATTTGAATGGCCGCATGCCCAGATAACATTTTATTGGCACACAGCCACCATCTCTATCTCTGTAATGCTTGAACTTGGTCAAACCAGTGAGGGAAAGTGTGATGTCACTCTGAGGTGACAAAGCTCCCTCTCCTTACACTTGTGCTAGAGGGGCTATGAGAAAAGTCTAGTCCTACAGATGGGCCTGCTCTAAAATAGGATAGGGTGATGGGGTTCAGGCTTAGGACTCATTCTAGCAGTGTAGAGAGAAGGACTCAGGAGGGGATTAGGAGCCTCCAGTGAGCAGTTCCTCTACCACCACCCCTAGTGTGGTGATGGGGATTTTTATCTGAGACTTTCCATGTCCCCAGAGTCCTCAGGCTTCTTAGGGCTGGCCCTGAGCTACATTCATTGACTGCCTCCCTCCTCTCTCTACAGAATTTGCCTTCTGCCAGGTGAATGCCTCTGTTGCTCTGGCCCTGGCCTTAGCTGTTCTGTGTGACTTGCTCCAGCAGTGGGACCAGCTGGTGCCAGGACTGCCCATTCTCCTGGGATGGCTGCTAGGAGAGAGTGACGACCCCCAGTACCTTATGCAGAGCCCACATCAGGTAATCCCAGCTAGTCGAGACTGATGAGGAGAAAGCCTCTGGGGGATGCACATGGCACACCCTGAGGCTTACTTTGGAGGTCTTGGTGGCAAGTTTTGAGACAGTGGGAAAGGGGGCTTTGAAAAATGCACCTTGAATATTGAGAATACAAGTATGGAAAAATGCATATCAGTTGGTCTTAGCATGGGCAAGGGGCATCAGAGCTTTGGGTCTAAGCATTTCCCAAGAATTAGGGTCCTTCCAAGGAACATGGTGCTTGACCTCTCTTCCCAAGTGACAGGGAGCAGTCATGCTCATCTGGAAACTCAAGACCAGTGGAGGCAATACAGGGATTGGGAAGACAGAAATCTGTGCCCACCCGTGTGACTCTGCCAACTAGCTACCTTGGCATCGTGAGCAGATAGAGTTCAAAACTCAGTCTGTTTATAATAGAGATGTAGTAAGGTGGTTTTGATAAAATGACCTTGAAAACCCTAGAAATCTGGTCTTAAAGACTGGTGTCCTGCATGTGCTCAGGAAGTCTTCCCTCTGCTGCCCAGATTTCCCTTGCTCCTCCCTCCTCTGAGTTATCTGTACACCTTAAAATCTAAGACCCGCTTCCTTAGCAAGGTCCTCTTCTCACCGTTAGTTCCCCAAAATACCTTGGCTTTGAGTGACTCACACATCTCTATCAAAGGTCATGTTACGTCTGGGAGCAGAGCAGTCCTCTCTGGTAGAGAAGTACAGAGAGTAAAAGTAGAAGGTGACCTTCAGACCTGCAGGCGGTGGGCCCTCTGTCAGCTTTGGAGGAGACACAACTCTCATATCTAGCAGGGCCCTATGTGGTGAGCCTGGGGCTTGGCAGCGCTCCCTACAAGGTTCACTGTGGGTGGTTGTCATTTGATGTAGGGAGAAGATGACTACATATTCGAAAAATCAGAAGTCAACTTTTGGGCTGAGACCCTGACCTTCGTGAGATACCTGTGTTGGCAACTCTTCCATCTCCCCTGTCAGTCTGGCCAGCCCTACCCTCACTCCCAGCTCTGTCACCTGCAGACCATAGCATCTGAGAAGCGTCACCTGGTCTCTGAGCTCTTCAGAGAACTCCCACTCTCGGCTGAATTTCTGAAGACAGTGGAGTACACAAGGCTGCGCATTCAGGAGGAAAGGTCTCTGGCCGTCCTGAGGCTGCTGGCCTTCCTGGAAGGCAAGGAAGTTCTCAGAGCGGAAGACTGTCCCAGGGAGTGGAGACAGTTGATGGCCCCAAGAACAGAAGCATCGTGCTGAAAGAAGGCTGGGGCAGGGAGTGGACTCTCCCCCACTCAGGTCTACAAGAAACTTGTGGGACATAAACGCATGCCTCTCCCACTTGTGGGAGCCTGGGCTTCTGTGTCTTCCTACAGAAGGCTTTGTCTTCAGCACACTCACTCAAGGCAGCCAGTGTATTGCAGCTCCTGTAGGAAGCGAGGCTACGATGTTGAATATTTACTCAGTTCCCAGGTGCAGGCCACCTGCAGGCCTGAATTAGCCTTTTCTATCCTGAAGAACTGCCAGTCCAGCCAGAGTTTATTTCCCATACACTGACTATAGTGAACTGAGTTTTAGCACACACAAGTCCCCCAGCCACATATCTACATACACACACACACACACACACACACACACACACACACAGTTACATACACTGCTCTTTGGTTTGGTTTGGGCTCTGTCTAGGAGCTGGATTACTAAGCAAACAGCCTATTCGGTCATAATTCTAAATTTTATTCCATTTTAGCAAAGGAGAAGTTCATCCCAAGTGTTAGGTTCTGGGAGAATTAAGAATCCACCCCATGCAAATATGTGTGTTTCATCATCTACATGTATGAGTGCTTCCGCAGTGCATAGTAAGAGTCCCTCCTGCCCCGCCCTCCCCACCCCCAACCCCCATGCCTGTGAAGGCTAGGAGGCCAGCCGGTTGGTGTCCATCGTTTGCTTCAGCTATTTGAAGGAGCCTGGGGGAAAGAGAAGCCTGAACAAATGCTTGATTCATTTGATGCCTACCCTGTTTACTGTCCTGTGATTGGTGGAAGCAATTCTCATTTCATATGTTAATAAACATACTTATTTCAGTGATGTCATCTAGAAACCTTAAGGGTTTTTCTCGGTTCCAAGCCCCGCCAACAGGCTTCCTCAGGTACCCAGCAGGTGGCACTCTTGCACACATTATGCTGCTAGTCTAAGTTTAAGTTAGCAAGTTCTTCAGCTTGCTAACTTAAAACTTACTTCACACTATTATCAGCACCTGTGTATGATGGGCAGCCACCCATGCCTCAGTATGTGTGTCTGTGGAAGTCAGAGGACAGCTTCAGGGTCAGGTCTCTCTTCCCCCCTTTCCATGGGTTCCAGGGATCCAACTCTCAGGTTCAGGCATGCATGGCGAGCACCTTTATCTGCCAAGCCATATCATGGCAGGCCCGGGCTTACCACTGTTAATGTATACTTGCAGAGCAAGTGTCATCCACAGACAGGTCCCTTCAAATTGGATGTGTTGAAGCCTGGTCCACATTTCTACTTATCTACAAAGACCATGCTAGCCATAGTTAATAAACTTATACGTTCAGCTACTTCCCAGCTGAGTGGTTACTCAGAATGATAGGGAAAGGGAATTAAATGGGCAGATCACAGAGGCATTTGCTAGACTGTTTCCTTCTGCAGAAAAGCTGAGATTTCAAATGGACTTGGTCTCTGAGAAGAAAGCTGTCCAGCACCATAAGGAAGTGTAGAGAAATTGTCTGCAGGGCAGTGTCCATAGTGTCTCTGAGGGGAACAGAAAATCTCCTAAGGGGTTTTGCAAACATTCAGCACCCAGGTGTGGTTTGTATGACCCTGTAGTAATTACCTAGTTAGGCACCATCGTAGCCCACCCTTGATGAAAAATTGAAAACCTAGCATTTTTTAGTTTGTTTTTGTTTTTGCTTTTCTGAGTCAGGGGCTTGCCATCTGCACCAAAATGGCCACACACTTGCGTTAATCCTCCTGCCTCTGCCTCCCAAAGTGGCAAGATTGCAGGCACACACCACCATGTCCAGCTTTTATACTACTTTAGTCTAAGATATAGCTGGTGAAGAGGGGCTGGTGGTGTAATGGGATGGTAACTGTGGGAGATTAATTCTGATCAGGGCCCAACAAAGGCCAGCTCATGGAAGAGTCAACTGTCCCTCTCCCCTCCCATCTAGAGTGAAATCAAAGCAGTTACATAACAATAAAACTATCTCACACTAGCAGGCATGCGGTGCCAAAGCATGTACCAGAACATGTTTATGTTATCTCCAAGTCCATCCTACCAAGTCTACCCAGTGGGTGTTCTTGCTGCTATTGGCTGGGAATTACCCCAGATTTGGATCTTGG